AATATGATAATAATAATAATAAATTTACAATTTCTTAAAGATTCACAAATTTATGAATCTGAATTTGCTTAACATAAATAAAACATTTAATTTAAATAAAATACTATAAATGTATTAGAATTATAATATTTTAATATCGAAAATAATGAAATTTTAGTTGTTCTGTAACTAAATTTTAGTCATTTATCAACTCAGATGTCTATAATTTGCTCAGTCAAATATTTGATAGTCTCAATCATTTTTAATCTATATTAGTTAGCTATTTCTTCATTAGCTCCTGCTTTGAATATTTATTTGTTATAATTAATAAAATCGATAGTTTTAGTATTATCAATATCAATAGACAAAATATTCAATGTTTGTAGATTATTGCCTAAATGATGGAATTAATTCAAATCTAACTGCAATGACTATAAGGATTTACTTAGCATCTGGTTGTTGAATCAAATTGATCAATTGTGTTAAGTTACATTTTAATCATTAAAATAATAAGGATGAAGATTGTTTGCTATTCTTATTAGAGTCAGGTCATATTATTTATAATTTTGAAAACTAAATAAGATAGATAGAGAAAAAGAAATTAATATTAAAACAATTATTGGATTATGTATAGAAGAGGGAGTTTTTGTCCTTTTAGCATTTCCACTTCATTTTGAAATTATTTACATTAATTGCATTCATAGATTAATTAGTGATTTCCGATCAATCTACACTGTTCGAGTTCATATATAAAAAGCCAAGCAAATTACTCATATTCTCATTGCATCAATGTTATATATATTAAAACATTCTCACTCGTTGACTTAAATAAAATTTAGTATAATCACTAATTTATATCTAAAAATTGCATTTTTAATTAGCATGGGATAATGGGCATTTCCAATTAATCAGCTAGTTAAAGACACATAAAGTGACTGATAAAGAAATTGTAATTATTATAAATAAAATAAAAATTCAAAAAATAGCTTATTAGATATATATTTATGGAAAGACAAAAAAAGCAAGAATTTTTTAAGTCAAGAAAAGGAGATGGATAACAAGTATTGTAAAAGTAGAAATTTCTAGATCTAATAGATACACTAAGAAAATATTTTAAAACCAAATAACTAAAGAATGCATAAATGTAGATGATCAAAGTCTACATTCAAGGCTGATTAGGAATTTGACTTATTAAATTAAGGATATTTTTGTAATGAATAAAAGAAATTAGTTTGAATATTCCCATAAAATGTGTATAAATAGTTCAAAAAGCTTGATGAAACAATGAAATCATGATATAATCCTAGAAATAAGTCTTACAACAATATAAAGAAATTATATATGTAAACTTAAAAATTGATAAATTTATTAGAATATGGATTTTAATAATTATA